GAGATCGGCCAAGGACAAACGGGATCCTTTATCAGCACCAGGAGTCTACAGAGTTCCGTGCAGCTGTGGAAGAGCATACATCGGCACCACGAAACCAGTTGTCGACCAAACGGCTTCAAAGCCCGGAAAACATTCCTAAATGTAATTTAACCGGCCGTAAAAGCCTTCATAGTCTGATAATTAATGGTGCCACTAATCTTAACCATAACAAAAAAGAAACAAATTTCTCCATAAATAACACTGATAACATCTCTTTTGACCACAACGCAAGCATGGCTAGCTTCTGCAATAAATACTTTGTAAATATTGGCATTGAAATGGCAAAAAAGATAGTAATACATATGAAGCCAGGTCGAATGTTGCTTCCATGTATATGTACCCAACCACAGAGCCGGAAATTGCCAGATAGATAGACCCCTTGAATAATGACTCTTAATTAACTTGATTGACTTGACTTAATGACTTAATTAAATCATCAAACGCAAATATTTTAGTTCCCCTATCTTATATTGTAAATGTAACTTTCAAAACTGGAATAGTTCCAGATTTATTCAAACAGTCCTTAATAGTTCCAGTACGCAAGTCAGGCTCAAAAAAGCTCATAGAAAATTATAGACCAATCAGTTCAATTAATAACTTTGCAAAACTGTGAGAACAGCGTTTAAAGGACAGATTAGTAAACTTTTTTAAAACATTTAAAATCTTGTAGGACAAACCATTTGGGTTTGTTGAGAATTACAGTACAATTGATCCCATGTGCAGCCTGACAGCTGAAGTTATTAATAACCTAAATAAAACTGAAAATGCTTGGCTATTTTCCTCGCCCTCTCAAATGCCTTTGACACTGTTCCTCATTATCAATTGATTAATTCTTTGAGACAATATGGTGTAAGAAGTCCGGGAATCGAGATTTTTTAGAGTTGTTTAAGTAACAGAAAACAATATGTTAAAGTCAATAACGAAATAAGTTCTTCACTAAACATTAAGATGGGTATTCCACAGGGAACAATTTTGGGGCCCATGTTGTTTATAAAATTAATTAAGTCTTTATTGGGGTTAAATATGAATGCTAAACTTATATCCTATGCTGCAGACACAGCATTGATCTTTTCGGAAGTTTCGTGGGATGAGGTCAAAAGGAAGGCAATAGATGGGATGGATGTGGTAAAACAATGGCTAGATTTACATAAATTATCCTTAAATGTCACAAAAACCCATTTTATTTCTTTCACTATAACAATAGGCCACATTTTAGCCTGGTTAGCCAAATAAACTCAGATTTTGAAATTAAGGCTGTGTCAAAGGTAAAATATCTAGCAATCATAGTGGAGCAAAATTTGAAGTGGACAGAACATGTAGACTATTTGACAGGCAACGTTCGAGGACTCATTCATAAGTTCTGTGTCCTTCAAGATTTTTTGGACAGAAAACTACTCATACAAGTATACAAATCGTTAGTAGAATCATTACTTAGATATCGCCTTATAATATGGGTTGGAGCTTATGAATCTAATTTAAGGCCATTAAAAGTTATTCAAAATTATATTATAAGAATAATTTACAGAAAGGACAAACTAAATACTACTAGAGCATTGTATAATAAAGAAATTAACGCGGACCATTCTCGTCTTCGAAGCCGTCCAGTATATTGGCTACACTTAGAAGTGCGAGCTAGTAATTAATACTAACCTTCCTCGATTTGTGACTGTATATGCTGAGTAGGATTTTCGTTTAACCTAGATTGTTTTGAACTAACGACATAGCTTATAGTTGTTTATTGGGAAGTTGTTGATTAACAACCACACCTTAGTGTGGTTGTAAATATGGACAGTGGGGCTGGACACGGGAGAGGAGTCAATCCCCTGTCCCGCTTGAACCCCCGGAAACTGGAAGTAGCCTTAATGTTAACAATGGCTCCAATATGGAGCGCACAAATTTAAAACCTAACGTAGAATATGACTCGAAAGATAAGTACACTGTTTATTATTGTGACCAAATGAAATTAATTTCGTTAGAAAACATCGGTAAATATTCACATTTAAAACTAGCTAAGGAAATATTTGACCTTCACCTCGTCGAAGTGAAAAATATTAAAAATAAAGGACTGAATTGCTGGAGAATTTTTAAACCACAGCGCGACCAACCATTTTGTCAAAAATAAAAAACTTAAACAGAAACAAATTTAACCTATTCAATTACATAAAGGTGAAAAACCAACATAATATAGAGGATACCAAAAAAATAGAAATCATTAATGATCTTGCAATTTGCAACATTTTGCCAGATTTTGAATAAAAAAAATAAAGCAACCCGTTACATTTTTTACCATGGATGAATTTGAAAATAGCTTAGGGAATAAATCACTATCGGCCCCTGGGCTAGATGATGTCCCATACCTGCGAATAAAAAAACTGCCCTTAAAGGCTAAAGTATCCCCATTAGATATCTATAACAGATGTCTAACTACTGCTACCATACCTAAGGAATGGAAAAATTACAATCTCATCCCAATTTTATAGTCAGGAAAATCACCCGAAACCACCAATAATTTTAGATCTATTATTCTTTCATCTTACTTTTGTAAAACCTTAGAGATATTAATCAAGAACCAGATCAAATGGCAACTAGAAAACAAACAATTTTTTTTATAAAATGCAGACTAGTTTCAGAAAAGGAATGGGAATTGATATCATTACTTACATCACACATTTACTACGCCTTCGAAAACCAAGAAACATTAATTGCGATATGTTTAGACATCACATCGGCATTCAACCATGTAAATATATATAAACCATACACAAAAATGATAACATTGGACGTACCCATAGAATTAGTCAACTTAGTCCTAGAAATTCTCAAAAACCAAGAATTATATATAAAAAGAAATGATGGATAGCTAGCTGGCCCAAAAATTACCGCAATTGGGCTACAACAAGGCTCACCACTCAGTACAATACTCTTCGACATATATACAGAGGACCTCTTCAAAACTGATAGAAAAGTAAAAATCTTGGGATATGCCACTGATTTTGTTATATCTATTAAAGGAAGCAATATAAAATAATTGGTTAAATATATAAAGGAATACCTCCATATACTGAATAGCAAATTAGAGGATTTTAACCTAAAATTAGCACCAGAAAAATGCGAGGCATTCTGTTTCACCCGAGGAAATAGGAAAAATAATTTAGACCCAATTAAAATACTAGATCCCGAAATGCCGTACAGAGAATGTGTTCAATATCTTGGAATAACGTTACAAAGAAATTTAAAATTGAACTTACACGTAGAAAAAATTACACAAAAAGCAATGGCAGGATGTAATCTCTTAAATCCCTTCTCCACAGTCTGGTGGGGGTTCGACCCAAAGATAATGTTGACAGCGTATAGGGCACTAGTCAGGTCACACGTGGATTTCGGATCAATTTTTTTAACCTAACAAAGAAATTGAACATAAAGATAGATAGAGATCAATTTGCAGCCTTAAGAATCTGCCTAGGAGCCAAGAAATCCACACCCACGAACGCTCTTTTGACAGAAAGCTCTGAAATAGCTTTATCCTAAAGGAGAAAGATTTTAGCGACAAAGTTTTTATCACAACATATAGGAATAAAACAGCATCCACTTATTCAAATTATAACAATTTCAAGAAGATATTATTTACAAAACTCGTCTAATCAAAGAATACCGATAATAGTACGGGCCTTTGAACCGTTCCTGCAATATACCAAAAAAATATCCTATCATAAAAACTTTCCATGTTATGACCGTTTCCATCAGCATGAAAAATCAAATAAAGAACATAAAAACGCTCAATTTGGAATTAAAAAAGGATGAAATGGACATTGCACAAACATTTTTAGCAACTACTTCAAGATACAAAAACTCACATAAGTTTATTTATGCAGACGCCTCAAAGAAAAATGTTGAGAGTTGTATAAGAAATAAAATAAAAGATAATATCCTTCAGGCATTTAAGAACGACTGGGCACAGATAACTATAAAAAAAGGCTCCTCTTACAGATCCCTACAGGAAACGTTCCCTAACGTCAATTGGTTTGCCAAACTACCATATAAAAATAGACGACATATCACAACAATAATACGTATGCGTACGGACACTGCTCCACAAATCAACATTTGCGCAAAATCAAAGTTATAGGTAATCTGAGTTGCGAATGCGGTCAAATACACAGTTTGAACCACATCTTTTTTGAATGCCCTATTAACAATAACAAAATATATGTTTTTGATCGCTGTAGGTAAGATTGGTCTGCATAATATGAGTCCGAACATAGCAGTAATCAACGTATAAATGAAAATGTAATTTTTAAACTAGGTACTCAATTAAATTGTAAGTGTTAAAAAGGCAACAACTCGAAATTCAAATCGAAAATAATGATATTTTATTAACAAACGACTTTAATAATGCAGCAAAGATATGCGGTCACTTGATCTATTAACTGAAGCCCCAGCTGCTTATAAATTTAGTAATTCTAATTCTTATATTGTTTCTACTACAATTCACGATTCCAGGAAGGGAGTTGGCACTGTGGATGCAGTAGCGAGATTAGTAGAGGAAATTAAAGAGGGTAGAAAAGCGTTGTTGCTAGATATCAGCAACGCCTTCAACATGGCGTGGGCCCCGGTTGTGGTTCAGGGGTTTGAAAGGGCCGGGGTTGGCAGTGGTTTGGTGAGAATATGGTGGAGCGTTTTGCGGGGAAGAGTGGTCCCGAGTGGAAGGGGGCGATGTAAGATTGGGAAAGGCTGTCCTCAGGGATCGAGTCTAGGCCCCACTCTATGGCTCAAGGGCATCGAGGGATGGTTCCGGTCGGTCGATAGGATAGAGAGAATGTGTGTGAAGAAGGGTGGAAGAGAAGTGACAGGTGATAATGCTGGCGACCCAGGCTTATGCGGATGATCAGATGGCGCTGCTTAGGGCCGAGTGAGCAAAGAAGATTGAAAGGATGTTGGATTGAAAGAATTGCTGGTCTAGGAGAAACTGAAAACGTGGGCTGGCGATGCGGCCATAGGCAACATCTGGCCTCCTGTGCTTAACACTGGGGAACTTAGGGTAGTCCCATCCACAATGGTGACGTTTCTTGGCGTGGTGCTTGACGCCAAGTTGCTCTTCCTGGAACATGCCAAGTGTGTGAGACAGAGAGTGGGTATAGTGTATGGGAAGATTCGAGGGATTATGAGGAGCGGAATGACGGCGAATAATATTGTGAGGATGCTTTATGAGAGGGTGGTAAAGAGTGCAATCTTGTATACGTCTGAAATATGGGGGGGCAAAGCGTCCGACTCCCGAGGTAAGGGCGTACCGGACGATCTCTTCGGAGGCCCTGCAGGTGGTGTATGGTCCCCCCCCCCGGTGTGGCTGGAGTATTTGGGCAGGCATAGATTTCATAGTGAGTACGGATGCAGAGTAAAGGTGAAAATGACGAGGGAGTCGGAACGGATCCCTCCCCATAAGCCGGTGCAAAATGATGCAGGAGGAAGGACGATTCAGGGGAAAATACCTTTTGGAATGTGTGGTGTGATGCGGCAGTTGCGCGTGAGAAAGGGGCTATTGGTGTGTGGTGTGTAGGTAAGAGCGAGTGTGCAAAGGTTAGTGATGAATGGGTTGAATGGGGTGGTAAGAGTGTTAATAACATAAAAATCGCAGCAATTGGCAAGATGATGATTTGAGGCTCTTTGTATAAGTGGTGATTGTGCGGTAGTGTGGTAGGACTCTAGGGATGCCTTACTTGCAATGAATGATTATTTTATTACGGTCTGCGGAAGCTGTTGGGGTACAGAGGGCGTTGCATGCGATGGGGTATGTTGGTATGGGGGTCACAGTGCAGTGGGAAGCTCGCATGGGCTCCGTTGGTGCAGTCGTCGCGGATGAGGTAGCCAGCTGGATGGGGATCACGGCACAAATGACCAAAGGTCAGGTCAGAAGTCGGATGAGGTCCTCGGTGATAGACGAGCGGCGGAGGCTCTGGTCCAGTATTGAGACCGGCGTCTCTGGGTGTGGTTGAGTGCCTGGGGCAGAGTCCTGAAGCTTTCGGCGAAGAGGCGGTTCGGTCGTAGCCCTGTCTAGGATGTGGCCGCTCTTGGACAGCACCGCGATGCGTTCTAATGTTAGAGCGCAAGGGTAGTATGAGCTTATTTTTGGTCAGGTTGGATGAGCGTCAAGAGATCTGTGCGTATGTCGGACCCTTGACGGACACTAGCGGTGCTCTTTCTGATTGGAACTTACTGATGAGTATTGCACTTTTAGGATCTAGGTTTTATAGGTTAAGATATAGGTTAAGGTGTCATATAGGTTAAGATATGGATTAAGGTTATATAAGTTAGGAGCTGCCAGAATGTCACCGATCCCCGATTGCGGGTGCTGGTGGTTTGCCTGGGTGTGGTGCATACATGGCCTTATGGCTTCGGCTGGGTGGGCTGCCGAGAGGCGTAAGTCCTTTCTGTGAGATCGTGCAGAACTGTTTGAATCAGTTGCGGTGCGCACTATCGATTGTTTAACTATTAGTAATTAATTTAACTGTGTGTAAATAGCTAGGATTTTATTTATACTTTAAGACTGTTGGATATCGTACATTGTAACAATTGAGTTATAAATAAAGTTGGACTGAGAAAAAATTTAGGATTCCAAACACTTATCCAAGAATTTGTTAAGACCTTTCCATACAAGCTATCTGGACTTTCTGTTAGTAAACTTATTAGATAGCTCATATTTTACAAACTCCTGAGTTTCAAAAGCTACTTCACAAAATAATTTTTTTAGACACTCATTAGTCGTAAAATTCGTGTTGACAAAATGGATGTTCGAAAAAGTGCAGTTATAAAACAAGTGAACGATGTGTTCCCTCGAGAATTGAGAGCAAAAGAGGCTTGTTCTACTGCCGTTGCACGATGGGATCAGCCGATTGCGTTCGAGAATACGAATATTCGTTCCAAAATGACACTTTTTATTCACATAGTTTTCATATAAATTTTCTGTAAAAATGGAATTTGAAGTTAGAGAGACACTGCACCGCACATTGTTTGCACACTTATGACTCATAACCCTGAATGTTGGCAACCGTTCCGCCGTTTCATTTGCGATAACCTTCACTATTTTACCCGAAACTTCGTTAAATGTTTAGATA